AAGTTGCAAGTGTATCAAAGTAGCTTTTTTTTTTTTTTTTTTTTTTTTACTTTCTTTCCTTTTTCTCTCTATTTTCTACTTCTTTTGCCTATACCGACGTGATATATATACATATATATTATGGTGTAAGAATGAACTGTGAAGAATGGCTGTGTCTCTGTAAATGCTTAGCAACGTATTTTACATCGCGTTTGCGTTCTCTATCGTTTCGTTAATTCTACAACGACAGAAAGAGACGAATTCTGTATACGATGATATTATCGCACTCGCCACTTGTCCGTACGTCGCTCATCGGACATGTACAATGTTCCGCGACGATGTACAAGTATTCAGGTTGCGCGCGCTAAGGAAGAAATAATTTATATTTATTACAAAGCGCAAGTGATTTTCCCCGAAAGCGGACGGATATTTCAAGCATATTCATCGGTTCTTCGGCTACACAAAGCATCGCGTTAAGTCTTGGTATATAATCTTAGTTAAGAGAAGAATAAGAGAAATGTAAGGGAGGATAGCGGAAGAAATGGGCGAGGAGAGAGGGAATTAATGAAAGCGAAGATAAAGAAGAACCGACCTGAATTATCTGTGTATAAGATATGGCGAAGAGAGCGAAGCAATTTCTGATTCTGATTCGCGACACTTCTGTGGCGTAAATAAAGAGCTAAATTATTCATCTGAAATGCACAACATCATAGAGAGCCGGAAAAATTTGATAGAAGTCATGTCAGTCTAATTATATTTCTTGTTATATTATATACATATATATTATATATATTATATCATATTTTCCAAAAACGAATTATATATAATTCAATAAAAAAACCACTCTCGTTTGATAATTTGCTAGCTTCCGCTGATTATTTTTATCCTACAAAACATCCTGTTTCATGTACATATTGTGATAAGATAAAATTTTCTACTGGCTAAATTTGAAAAATGTTGAGTTACCATTTCTCACTTAACTCGATATATTTAAGCAATAAACAATAGTAATATTATGAATTTAACATTCCTGGAAAGTAAAGACTTTAAGCTTTAAAATGCTTTTCGAACCGTTCTGCTATCATTTTTTTTGCCGAAGTTACGGCCTGTTAAATTTTGTCTATGTTTCAATATAAGGGAAAAGTGTGGCTGATTATCCCTTGAGTTATACTACTTGAGATATAAAAAGACGGCTGACCATGCGTTGATCATATCACATCATTTTTTTTTATTGAGTACAAGGAATAAATCACATTCTCAGTCAGTGTGTCTGGTGGCGACTCGTAGCGGGAACTTCGGAACTAACAGTCGACATAATATGACCCAAGAATAAAATCATATTTAACCTAGACTCGAACCATATTTAACTTTTCTGTCGGGCAATTGTGTCGACGTTTAGTTCCGAAATTTCCGTTACGAGTCGCCACCAGACACACTGACCATTTGAGGACATGAGCGCGTACAACTGTGATGATCCTACAAGGTAAGATAGGCTTTGTATCTTCACCCAGTCCACCTTTTTGTATACTCTATATATTTAAATAAACGAATGAGAACGTGATATGGTCAATGCATGGTCAGCCGTCTTTTCATATCTCAAGTAGTATAACTCAAGGGTTAATCAGCCACACTTTTCCCTTTTATTGAAACATAGACAAAATTCAACAGGCTGTAACTTCGACAAAAAATGATAGCGGAACGGTTCAAAAAATATTTAAGTTTAAAACCTCTACTTTTCAGAAATGTTAAATTCATAATATTACTATTGTTTATTGCTTAAATATATCGAGTTAAGTGAGAAATGATAACTCAACATTTTTCAAATTTAGAAGAAAATTTTGGCCCATATTCTGAATCCTCTTTTATCTATAAAAGTGCCTCCAAAAGAGGCTTAGGGGTCACCTGGCTGAGAAGCTACATTTAAAGCACTTTTATCGATAAAAAAGGATTCAGAATATGAGCCAATATCTTGTCACAATGCGTACATGAAACAGGATGTTTTGTAATTTAAAAATAATCAGTGGGAGCTACTAGATTATCAAACGAGACTGGTTTTTTTTTATTGAATTATATATAATTCGTTTTTGGAAAATATGATATAATATTGGGTTATCGGAAAAGTCATAACGCATTTTTGCAACAGATGATGCTAGTTTATTGTTGAAAATACGATAAATATGTCTTAAAAAGGAAACTTTAAACTCTTCATGACTATCATGCTTCAACTCGTTCGTATATTATAAATGATTAAAGTCAATGTACCCTTTTTGCTTCAACATTAAATAATTTTACGAAAAAATCGTATTGCAATGTACGAGGATGCAAATTAAAAGTTTGCGCTTTCGATTATTATAAATATTATTTGTCTATCATTTTTCGCTTAAGTGGTATAACTCAACAAACTTAATTCAATATTTTAACACCTGACTGATCCTAATTTATATTTATATAATTTTGTAAAAGCTAATTATATCTTATTTTATATATTTGAAAAGTAGAGATATCAACCTATAAAATGCATCTTTAGTCATCTCGTTGCGGTTATTCTTGCGGAAATTATTCAAAATTTATCTCGTCTCTAAGTCTTGAAATTGCTGGAGAAAAAGGCAGACATGAAAGAGTACTATGTTATGGTTATTAGATTTATTAAGTTTTCGTTATTTACACAGATTCGTTGTAAATTCTTTTGACAAAGGTCCAGAGGAACATTGCGGGAACATCGGGTTACATCATAAAGAAAAAAAAAAAAGAAAAAATGAATACTATACAGCCATTTTTTGTCCCCAATGATCACTATGAACCAATGCCATGGCGCGGCAAGAAATAAACGCGCAATGCGTTCGCCGAGCGATTCCAAACCCTCGACAGGAATTCCGGGGACCTCCGGAGCGTTCGAAGTTATTGCACTTTTTAAAGGATAGTACTAAAGCGGGGAGTGGACATCGTCAGTTTACATTATCGTACGACAGAATGATACAAGAGGAAATAACACTTCGCCCCTGAGTAAACGTAAATGAGTACGCTAAAACGTAGATTCACGTACATCGTCTCGAGGCTGCAAGAATACATGCGGCGTGAAATACTGTAGGATATATATGCGAGTATTAGTTAAAAAATACAAATAAAAAATTAAATCATTTAAAAGATAAGCGAGATACTTTGTATGCATGGCTTACTCTTCCAATTCTTTGAGAATATGTGCATGATATATGAATATAAATATATATACTTAAAAATACAAAAACATTTATAAATATATATATTTTTATTCTCATTAAGGCTCCTGGCCCCTCGCATTGTCTATCTCTTTTTTAATGACGTCAGAAGCGAGAAGATGTACGCTAAAAATTCTTGCGAAATACGTTGAAATAAAAATATATATCCATAAATTAACACTTGCAATCGATTAGACCAATTTCTAAGATATTCCGTGCACTCCCTTTTGTTCTAACAATCAATAATTTATTGTAAATTAACGTGATATACAATTCATCTTCCTAACCCATTTCTTCGTCCATTTCTATTCTTCGTCCATTTCTATTAATTTACAATAAACTACTGATTATTAGAGCAAAATGGGAGTATACAGAATATTTTACAAATTTGTTTAATCGATTGCGTATTACTTCCCAGCAAACAAGACATCATTTAACGTCTGTAATTATGACGATTGTAAATCGCAATCAGCGCGTTTGTTTCCCGAAATTCGAGCAAAATGTGGGTACTTTATCTATGTTTTAATATTGAAAATGTACACGACTAATTGTAAGATATTTTTAAGTGCATGATCTTAATATTATTATACTAAGGCTGATATTCATAGTCAAATCTTATATCTTAGACTTGACATGGTTTGCATAGCCTCCGACAAGAATCTTGGTGTTCGTGTAAAAAGCGTTTGGGCATTGGCGAACCTGTGTAACTGCCTTTCCAGGCAAAAGAAAAGAAATAAGAAGATGAATTGTATGCCATGTTAATTTACAATAAAGTATTGATTGTTAGAGCAAAAGGGGAATGCACGGAATATCTTATAAATTTGTTTAATCGATTGCAAGTGTTACTTTATGGATATATATTTTTATTTTAACGTATTTCGCAAGAATTTTTAGCATGCATTTTCTCGCTTCTGTCATTAAAAAAAAGATAGTGCGAGAGACCAAAATCTTTAAGGAGCTTTTACGCCAATAAGATATACGTGAGCATTGCATTCGCCGCGCATATAGAACAGCCTCCAGACTAATCGGTGAAATGCTCTTCCATCGCAAAAGCATGACGGCGCTCACTTGGCGTCAGCGTCGCGTCTCATTCGACGCACCGTCGGGTCCATCCGGAGCAGCTGTCGCATACATTATTACTTCTCTCTCTCTCTCGTTTCCGGAAGAAAAAAAAACTACACCACACTCCGCCGCCTGCGCGGCGGCGGCTTAGCGTATTAGCGCTTTATGAGTTACCAAGTTACGTTACGCGCGTGTTGATTCCTCTTTAAATGTAAATTTTATGATCATGTACCCACCACCACGTTGGACCCACGTTACGCGACTGCGCGTAGTTGGCAGTAAGTTCCTTGTCTTTGTCAGTTAAAATCTAAACGCTCCTACCAACGCTGGCACGATGTCGGTATCCTCCTCGCCACACGTCGATTAGGTCCGACAAACCCGAAGAATTGTTGAATTGATCGAACCACCCGCGAGAATCGTTCTCGCCCGAGATCGACCGAACACTCCAAGCGCGAGTGTTCCCGGAGGAATTCCGACATTGGAGCAGCACCTCGTTTCAATTAGACTAATTAACATTAACACGTTTAAGCGTCGCAACGAATTACAGATCTGAGTGTACGCTCCGAACCGAGCTCATGTACTTATCATTCACTCGAGCATCGCAACGTCGTAGACATTACCGGAGTGTGATTTGGAGTGTGATTAGCGGGGAGAATTTTTTTTAGAAAGAGTCATCATTTTATATCAGCTCACTATGATGCAATTGAGTGTACGAGCATCTCTACGACGGCAATGATCCATTCATACACGCACACACACTCACGCACACAGCTTCGGAAGCTCACCAGTGCCAACAATGCATTCTGTTGAACCGTTGCGTTTTCTCTCATTATTATCATTAAGCTTTATATCATAAATGCGTTTCCGATCACGCTCGGAAACATGAGTGGTTGGCACATTCGACAAATATCGTTGTTGACATAACAGACATCATATTAACACTACATTATACAAAATAGAATTAATACCTCTGCTGTTACTCGATTTACTATTGCCTCTATTTCCGTTTCTACATCGTTTAAGAGAAGAGACAATTTAATATGATGCATTATCACATTGGCAGATCGAATTCCCCGTCATTCGTGAATCTGAAGAGTCGAATTAACGCTAACATGCCACTTGCAACGTGATCGGAAACACAAACAGCTCGAAAATTCCGCCGCGCATGTTAAGTCGCGTGTAACGGTGACTCGGAGTATTTGCAGCGACATTCCAGAGGGATACGAATCGGAGACCGCTCTCGAGAGGACGAAGAGGTCGATCGCGTGGATGCCGGGAACAATTGCGCGCGGTGATGCTGCGAGTGTAGACGAGTGATAACGCCGCCGACGTATCACCGGAGTATTTGATCGAGTCGGGAGCTCGCGTGGCGTCGACTTCACCTTAAAACGCTACAGTGAGTTTGCGCGGGTAATCGAGTTAAATTATTGAGACGCGCGCACGCGGGGCTGCACGGTACTCTCGCGTGTCCTCTGTGCGTGCGTGTGTGTGTGTGTGTTAGGTAGGACAGCGTATACCGGACTAGTGTACAGTATAGTAGTATTACGTAGGTAGGTATATATATTAGACGCGTTTCGATTCGGAGGGTGAGACGCGTCGGTTTTGTTAGACGTGCGCGATCGGAATTAACGGGTGAGAGTTTCGCTAAAGTATACAGCTCGTCGCGCTGTGAACGAAGCGCCGGCGAACGATCGTTATTCCGAGCACAACTTCTCGTTTTCTAGCACGACAGCGGTTCGGGAGTGAAGATGAGGCTAGCGGATTATTCTAACAAAAATAAGAGGAAAAGAAAAAAAAGAAGAGAAAACGAGAAGTTCGTAATCCTGTTCCAGACAGGTCTCAATAATGCGTTCGCGCATCAAGCGCAATTTTTCAAATCACCACTTTCCCTTGCTAAGACTATTTCGATTCTAATAACAATTTTTACATCTCTACACTTTTATCACATCAAATTACTCGTGTCTCATCGGAATATTACGCCGTAGAGCTTAAATGTAGATCCATCGAAATTTGCTTCACATATTATCGAGACTGTCGTGAAGGTTCCGCGCTCTGAACACGAGACAAATCTTCTCGTTCAAAAGGACGACCGTGTCGACCGTGTGACAAAGGAGAAGGAGGAAAAACAGGAAGGAGTTCAATGTCGAGGGAACAACTGGCGTCAGTTCTTCCTCGAAGCGTACCGCCGTTACTCCAACTGTAGATACGTCGCGTGTCGCGTAGACGACCACGAATTAAGAAGAAAGAAGATACAACAGGCAGTAGTAGCATCGGCAGTTGAGCAAGAGATTCGCGTTTTATTCACCACGCCCGGTTGCATCTCGAATCTCGACAGTGCGGCCGAGAGCAGCAACAGTTTCAGCAGCCTGATTAATTGTCATCGCTGATCGAGTTTGTCATCTCGCGACCTGTCTCGAGATATCGCGCGGAACAAAAAACACTGCGGCGGCGCACACCTTCGCGGGACAGGTCTTCGAAGAGCCGCGGCGTTCGTTATCTCGATCTCGCGTAGACTTCGCGCCGCGAACGAGCGCTCACGAGCGGACTTAACTACTGTGGCTGTAGGCGGTGTTCGTGTAGGGTCCACTGTAGATGGACGACCCTGTCGTGGAGATGCTCTTGTGTCGCCTCTTGGCGAGCAGTACAAGAATAGCGGCTACCACTGCCAGCATCAGTATCAGACCGGCGATAGCGATCCCGATGGCGAAGCTTCTCTGCGATATGCAAATGGTGTTTGGATCGTCGATCGCCTGAAGAATCACGAGAAGCGAACAATTAAAAACTTATCAATAAAATCACATTTTGCAATATGATAGATATTATATATAAAATACTCATTAATATAATTTCATCCACACACACGTTTACATATTTGTATTAATTATAATAATAATTATTATATTAATCGATATATGAAAATTATTATATATAAGAAATAAATATTTATTTCTTATATATAATAATTCTCATATATTGATTAATATAATAATAATAATATTATCATTATTAATACAAATATGTTAACGTGTGTGTGGATGAAATTATATTAATGAGTATTATATATATATATATATAAAATTTTTATAAAAAAAAATATATATATGCGCGGTAGATGCTAATAACATACACACTTATACTAATATAAAGTACTTTTCAGATACGAAATACATTTTCTTGAAAGCTGCGTTTTTCATGAAAGCAATTGTGTATTCTATTTAAACAAAAGAACTCTTAGGAACATCTTGTATCTTTATTTTTCCAACTTCAGCTTTCGTGCCAAGAAGTTTCTATGAACATTCTCTTTCCTATATACGCCTTTCTTTTACATTTTTCCTTTTTTATCGCACTTTAATCTATTTGTATCTTAACCTACTCCTTTTTCCTCATTGTTTTATATAATCTTCCTTATCCTACATGTATCTTAACCTATACTGGCAAATTCCTTTCCTTTTTGGATTTCTTATCCTTAGATTTCTTCTTATATTCTCGGAGGTTTTGCCAAGCCTACCGAGAAGAGTTCTTAGGAACATATAAATGTATTGTGTAATATTATGTTATTAGCACCCACCGAATATTTTTTAATTTTTAGATAATTTCCCTCTCAGCGTATATTACGAGAAAATCATCGACAGTAGCTCGTTGAGAGATTTTCTCACCCTTTCTCTGAAGACGTCATCGGTGAAGTCCGATTTCGATCCAATGTCCGAGGCTTCGTTCACGTACAGGCCGCTGTAAACCTCGATCGTGGCCGGGGTACCGTCCAAGCCTTCGACACCCTTCACCTCATCGTCATCGGCAGTGTCCCTGCGTCGTCTAGCTATCGAATTGCACAACGGCGGCTGCAAACGGGGAATAGCAATGAGCGCTCTTGGTAAGTCCCCAAGAAACGTCGGAGTGTTCCTTTTCATGGTCAGGTTACACAATATCGCGCGCGTAACGTGCAACGTATTATTAAGACTGATGGGAGCGCCTCGATACGTTATTTCGGACGCTAGATCGCTATCGCCCGGTCATTAAAAGGAGATGAGTAACAACGTGCTTAATAATTCTCCGTAAAATCATTTCACCTCTCTCCTTCCTCCTCTCTCTTTGTATGCATATACATATACAGTAACCTCCATAAGTTTGAAAACGCGGATATTAAAATGAATATTATATAGAGTAATTCTGTTTCGCACTTACATTTACAAGATCGGCATTTATGTCATTTGATAGAGCGAAATTTCAAGTTTAAAGATCCATTGAATGACATAAATGCCGATCTTGTAAGTGTAAGTGCGAAACAGAATTATTATACACGGAGAAAAATAATTTTGTTCTTTTAGCAAAATCGTCATTACTACTGCATATTTGTAGTGACATCAAAAAAATTTAGTTGACGTAACTAATTTTACAAATCATTCGTTATCAGAGCAGAAGTAATTTCGTTGTCAGGATAGAAAAAATTTGTCGAGTGTATTTGTCCTAAGAATCACGTTAACTTGCTATTGATGCAAAATAATGTATTCTTAGCAAATTTATTTGCTATGGGAGCAAAACTGCAACTTATATAAATCTATCATGGTTCTTATAGCAAAATAATTTGTAGATTCAGCAAATTATATCCAGCAAATAGCGATTAGTACTCTTAGCAAATCTTATTGCTGTCCATATAATAACGAAAAGATTTTGCTAGACCAGCAGAAAATTTGCTGGGGCCAGCAAATTATTTTTCTCCATGTAAAATATCCATTTTAATGTCCTTATTTTTACCTGTGTTTCCAAACTTATGGAGGGTACTGTACACATCTAAGTGTAAAACGTGTGTATGATAATGATGATGGTACCGTATTACTGCATCCTCCGCCATGCTTGATGCACAGCCTAACGTTGCACTGGTAATACACGCTCGCCGTGTACGGGAACTTGTGCGCCTGGAAGTTCACCCTGGCCTCCGTCTTGTCGTCGTTGTACGTGAACTGTCCCATGATCTCGCCGTCGATCGGGCAACTGGAAAAGCGAACGCACGCGTCGATCGATCGCTCCAACGTGAATAAAAGAGAAGCCAAGTCATACCGAGGAGAATCGCTCATTTCTCCCGATCGTAAAATCCCTCCCTCTTTGTACCTCCGCTCGCTTATTATCCAGCCGTCGTGATAAGGCGGCGTTATCGCGATGTACGAACTCACCCCTCGTCGTTTATCAGCCGCTGCTCGCCCCAGCCGAGACCGTCGCGCACCAGACAGTCGGATATCCTCAGGCCGAACATTTCTTGCTTGTCAATGCTGATGACCAAGGTCAGGGGATCGCCGATCTTCACGTTCTCCGCCACGTGATGCTGCGTCGGATCGCCGCTGAAGATCTTCATCGTGCATCCCGGCATCGGAGTGGTCGCCTGTGGGGGTGAAGTACGCAGTGAGTAAAGTATTCCGCTGTCCTTTCTCTTCTCTTCTCTTTTTTTATACTTTACTTATTTTAATCATTGCATTATACATCTATTCATTCAAATAGATTGATACAAATTTGATAAACTATCTGATTCACATCAAGATTGGGAAGAAAGACCCTGATAGAAATATTTTATTGAAATATTTACTGAAAATCTCACTCAATTGACGCCATTCCATTAAAATTCGTTAAAATTAAAAAAAAATTTATTAAGATTCATTAAGATTCGTAAAATTCATTAAGATTTATTTAAATTCACAAAATGAATTTTATTGTTATATAATAATAAAATATATTTTACGAATTTTAATTAATCTTGAAGAATCTTAATGAATTTTGTGAACGTAATGAATTTTAATGAAAAGGAATCAATTAAAACAGATTTTCAGTAAAATATTGCCATCAGGGGAGTCAATAAGAAATATGCACAGCACAATAAATGAATTTAACACAGCTTGAAGTCACCGAAGAAAAATATCTAAAAAATAATAAATATTTTCTTGGTGAGGTGGACTAGAAAACATATTTATCGAAATCTAAATTCTTTTACTTAAATAGTATAAACTACTGCTTTCATGAAAAGCTAAGTTTTCCTGCGCTTTTGGGAAAATGTATATTTTCTTATTTGAAAAACATTTTATATTAGTGCGAATAAATATCTCATTAGTATCTACCGAATAAACATTCACCATTTTTTAGATATTTTTCCTCTCGGTGCAGTATTTATATCAATGCACCCAAATTATCAAGTTTGTATCAAGTTACTTCATTGCATTATACTATCCATGAGTTTTGGTTCTTCCTTGGTTTCCTTTTCCCTATGTTCCTCCAATTTTAAATAAATAAAGTAAATTTCTCAATAATTCGTTCGCTCGCTGACACTTTAGTCGTCGGACCGGTGTATTAACGATATTTACATGGATAAGTCGTGAACTGGCCGCTGTGGCTTTCACGTTTCCACGCGAGCTGACGTTTTAATTGGCCGGGTACCGCATAAAAATTCCCCGAGAAAGAGAGAGAGAGAGAGAGAGAGAGAGAGAGAGAGAGACACGATTACTTTTATTACCTGCAACGGCAACGACTGCAGCATGGCCACATGGGTCTGATCGTTCGTTACGACTTTGTCGCGCGTCTGGTATCTGCATCTCACGTGGAAACCTCTGCCCTGGTTCGTGACCAGCTTCAAGTGTGGCTGCACCACTATGGTGTTGAAGTACTCGATGCCGCCGTCATCCTGTGAAACAGAAAGACAATGGGGCACTGTGAGCGGATTGATCCCATTAAATCCAGCGAGTCGAATCACACACCGAGGTAAAAATATTTATTAGGTGAGTATCATTAACATATTTACTTAAATCAAAATTCTTTTTGTTTAAACCAAGTATTGTTTACTCGACTTAAATAAATTTCTTATTTCTCTTTCAGTGTAGCAAATAGACAAGTGGAAATCAGCCACCCTCCTCATTGCGAAGGATAATGACGTGTTTATATCAGCAATTTGCACGATCATCATAACTATTAACTTCAATATTTGAGATTTCCGCGGTACGGAAAATGTCAACCTGGATAGCACAGAGAAGTAAAAAAGAATTCAGTCGTATGTCACCAACTCGGAGTTCAGAATTCTTCGAAGCTCAGTTCAATTCAGAAAAGAATTCTTTTTGTATCTAAAAATGAACTCAGAATTGGTGACATACGACTGAATTCTTTTTTAATTCTCTGTGTCATTCACTATATTAGCCACTTTTCTTGCTGTAGGAGAAAATTTTCTTGTTACCATAGCAAGGAAATAGGTTCCTGCAGCAAAGAAAAAGTAGCTAACACAACAAATTATATTTAATTGTCCATATGTAGCAAATTAATTTGCTGCTGCAGCAAATCCTTTTTTCCCGTGTACGATAATTATTATTTCATATCTTCGTGCGGGACGAACGCCCCAAGCGACGCGATCACGCTAATCTGTGTCCGGCTACGTTAAATCCGGATGAAAGAACCACACCAGCCATTGTTCGGCCACACACGGCCAACGCGTATCTGTGTTTCGGTGTCGAGTGTCGCAATCCTTTTAACACTAGAAGGACCAAGCCAATTTGGCTCCTCGCAAAATTCAAACAGCTACAACTTTTTTCAATTTCTCTGTCATGTGATAACCTCTTGTGACTTTTCATAATATTTTTAATTTTGGTAAAAGAAGAATTTAATTATATAAGATGGTGCGTTGAATTTTTATTTAATTGTCTACCTAGAAGATTGGAGCCAATTTGGCTCCCGTATTTCTGATAATGCATTCACATATGTTTCTCAATTTATTAACAAGTTTTGACTTTAAACAAATAAGTAAATATTTTCATTTATATGTATCTATTTGTTTACTTAAAAAATAATTATATACATGTGAATGCAATATCAGAAATAAGAAAACCAAATTGGTTCTAACGGCTCTTCTAGGTAGACAATTAAATAAAAATTCAACCACCATCTTACAAAATTAAATTTTTTTTTTTTTTTACCAAAATTAAGAATATGATGATGAAAAGTCACAAGAGGTTATCACATGAAAGAGAAATTGAAAAAAGTTATAGCTGTTTGAATTTTGCGAGGAGCCAAATTGGCTACCTTGGTCCTTCTAGTGTTAAGGAGGGCCCGTTTACTATCGTTTCAGAGAGATAGATATAGTAATCGCCAATGTGCGCGTTCCTCGGGACTCTCGGTGTTGCTGCTGCTGCAGCTGCGACTGCAACAGCGGCAACAGTCCGCCGACATCGTCGTCGTCGTTGTCTCTGTCCTTGCACTCCGCCAGCAAAAACCGGACCGCTGCTTGCGCGCTGCTCCTTCTCTTCTCTTCTCTCGCACTGCGTGCATCGTATCCGTCTCGCTCGTGCGAGACACTCAGAAAGCTGAATACCTGCACATAAATTTACATTCCCGCCGTGGATTCACTTCACCGTGCATTTTCCTCTCAGGTATTCTCGTTACGCGACGTGGAAGCTTCTTCTCCAAACAATCACGCATTCTCTTCCTCTCTCTGTTCTGTCCTACCCCTTTCTCTCGTTATTCGGTCATGTTCCTCAAATTTTTCTCACTCAGCCAATGACTCTTCTGCGTTCTCTCGTCTTCATCGTTGAAGAATTCGCCGGTATTTTATAAAATGATACTCGTAATTTTCTATTACGATTAACATGCATGTGAAGGGAATCTTACAATAAGAGTTACTATAGAATTTTATACGGAAAAAAAAGATTTGATAATATGTAGAAAATATAAAGAAAATAGTATAAACATAATATAAAAAAAATTTGCTCCTGCAGTTAATATTTTTAGTTGTCCATATATTAATCTTTTTTTTCCGTGTATAATCGACAAGTAGATCAATATTTTGCAGTAATCGATTGTTCTTTTCTTGAGATTTTTTCAATGGGTACCACAATAACATATTTATTTAAATCTCAATTCTTTTACTTAAAGCTCCTGGGCCCTCGCATTGTCTACCTCTTTTTAATGACGTCAGAAGCGAGAAAATGCATGCTAAAATTCTTGCAAAATACGTTCAAATATAAATATATATCCATAAAGTAACATTTGAAATCAATTAAACAAATTTATAAGATATTCTGTGCCCCTTTTGCTCTAACAATTAATAATTTATTATAAGTTAACCTGAATAAAATAAAAATAAAAATAAAAAAAAATAATATAATAATGTAACATAATATATAATATAATATATATATAAATATATATAAATATATAAATATATATAAATATATATATATATATATATATATAATTATAATTATAACGTGACATATAATTCATCTTCTTAACCTATTTTTTCGCCTATTTTTATTTATATTAAATAAAAAAAAAATATATATATATTTTTTATTTAATATAAATAAAAATAGACGAAAAAATAGGTTAAGAAGATGAATTGTATGTCACGTTATAATTATAATTATTTCCGACAAATAATTGATTGTTAGAGCAAAAGGAGAGTGCACGGAATATCTTAGAAATTTCTTTAATCGATTGCAAGTATTACTTTATAGATATTTTTATTTTAACGCATATTTTTATTTCGCAAGAATTTTAAGCATGCATTTTCTCGTTTCTGACGTCATTAAAAAGAGATAGACAATGCGAGGGGCCAGGAGCCTTAAATAGAATAAGCGATTGTTTCCATGAAAAGCTAAGATTTCAAAATAATATGTATATTTTCTTATCTGAAAGATATCTTGTATATCAATACAAGTAAACATGTTAGTACCCATCGAATAATTATTCTTTATCTCTCCAATATTTTTCTTTCAGTATATGTTGCCAGCAAGATAGACCTGACAGCTTATTCCCACTAGAAACATATAATACACTTTAAAAAAATGGATAAGAAGGAGACCACAATCTTCTTCCCGTGCGCTCCTCTCGACCTTTTTCATTATCCCGCCGCGCCCTTATCGTGGATACTCAAGCTTCGCGAAGGGGTAAATTCGAATGTTTGGCCGCGACTTCCGATTTCAGTAGTCGCTCGCCGGCAAACGACGATCACCATTAATGCCGATGGTAATCGCTAATGAGGGTTGCCCGTGATCAAAGAGTTCGCTTTGCCATTTCCGCGGACAATGAATGTAATCAGGACGGATAATCATCGTACTTAGAGTACCGATCGCGCGCGCGTCCTCGACGAGGGTCGAAAGGAGGTCCTCGTAGCTCGCTCTTGTACGCGGCAATCGGTCGCGCCGAGACAAGATATTCGGTGAGTAATCCGATGATATGATAATATTAATTTTCCGCCCGACATTACAGCGCGGAACGCGCCACACGCGCGCGCATACGCGTGTAATGCATAATTCGCCGTTATCTTGCGCGCGCGCACACACGCGGCATGGCAAATCGCCGATGTAATACATTTGCATATAAAATTGATACTCATCGCGCTGTCCAACTTGTTTCAAAAGCTCGCAGCTGGAATTTATGCCGAATATCACGATCATCAGGCATGTCAGCGATCTAACACGGCGCATCGCCAACTTAATGGGTTGTATTAAAACCGTAGAAACGGTGGCCGGCGACGAAGCAAATTCCGCGCCTTATCGATACCGGGAGATTAGCGTCCGTTCGCGAGACAGCGGTAATTTCACCTCCCGGATCACAACATCCCCCTCGTCGGCTCGAATCTCTTTTTTCTCTTTTATTTTCTCATTAAATATGCTATTCTCTATAAAGTAAATATATATTATTATGGTAATATTTTGTTCATCTTCATGAAGCGTTTTCACAAAATAATTACTATTTATTATTTTAAAGTTTCACATGACTTTGATATGACTATTATATTACTAAATGTATAATAACGCACGCGGTTCAGATATTCCAACATGTTAGAAAATACTGTTATCTCTACACTGAAAAAACTGATGTGTTAAATTTAACATTTTATGTGTCCCAAATCATCCACTCTCATTTATGTGTAAATTTAACACAAATGTAAAAAGTAACACGCGTAATATGTAAAAAATTAACACAAGAATTTAACACTTGAATATCATCAGGAATCACAGTTTGTGTTAAATTGACATATGTATAATGTTAAATTAACTAAAAGGAAACGTTACTTTAACATTTGAGAGAAGTATTAATCTATGGTTTTGATGAAATGAAAATGTTAAATTGACATAATCTATGACATATATTAAATATGTTAATTTAACACAATCTGTGATCTCTAACGGTATTCAAATGTTAAATTCTTGTGTTAATTTTTTCCATATTACGCGTGTTATTTTTTAACACATTTGTTTTGTGTTAAATTTACACATAAATGAGAGTGTACCTAACCTAACCAAACCTAAGTGATTTGGGACACATGAAATGTGTTAAATTTAACACATCAGTTTTTACAGTGCAAGGGATGTAAACCCCAGGGTATTTAATAAACTCCCTTAATATACTCCATTCTTGTGTTTAATTTACTCCATTCTTTCTCTCTCTTTCTTCACATAACTTCATTTTTCCGTTCGCGTACGTTCGCACGACTTCGACCTCGAACCGATTCTTCGTCGGAGACGAGAACAGAACGCCTTGCGCCGCGAATTCGACACCTGGTACCGTATTCTGGACGCGTGGCGAACGCTAAACATGTCTCTCTAATTCTCAAGCTGAAACAACGTTACACGCGTGTCGTACTTGTGCGAAAAACGGAACTTGGAAGCCAAATTGCCGCGTTAAGCGCGTGCA